GGTGTTGAGATCTCTTCAGAGAAATGATTGAAGGGAAATTTTGGGGAGGGCAACAGTTCTCCATGACCCAACAGGCGGAGGCCACACATGTGAGCAAGTAAAAAGATAAGGAAAGCACCTACCAGCTTTGCCCCACAAAAGTAATCCAACAAAAATAAAGTTTGGGAAAAGCACATCTGTATGATGCAAGGAATGATGAACATGCATCTGGATGTAGCACTTCCAGAGAAATGACTGCCAGAAAAAATTAGGACTGGGGACTCTCATTTCATAATGGGAATGAATATTTTTCTTTTTTTTTTAAGCACACAGCTGTTTCCTTGCATTGATGTCTCCTGGATCTCCCTGCGCTTATCTTTTCCATATTGTTTATTTTACAACTTGTGAAGTTCTTCTGTAAGAAATGGATTACACACAAAATGTTACATATGTTTATGCGTGTGTGTGTAACTCCATACTGTTATGGTCCTGCCTGGCCAAGAAACATTTCTGATGTGCTTTCAAATCAAGGTCTGCCCATGTGGGTTATTTTATTATTTTTTATTTTTTTTCCCCCAGTCTTTGGCTTGTGCCAACATTTCCTGCCTGATATCTCACTTTGGGCAGCAGAGCTGGGCACATGATGGCCAATGATGACAGGTGAATGGCAACCCAATGCGACACAGCAAGCCTAGGTCACGAATAGAGCAGCGAGGCTGCTGAGTGTGCACCTCAGCCTCCCAGAGATCTTAATCATGCCTAATTTGTGTTGGAGGCTAAATTCAGTAACTCCCGGAGGCTTTGTAAGAGCAAAGAGCACAAATAGAAATAAAACCAAAGGCTTGCACCACAGAAATCTCCTAGGCTAAACTGAAAACAGATTCTGGCAAAAGATTTCTCTTTCTTTTCTTAATGCAAAGATTTGAAAGGAGGGAATCAGAGGCAGGCAATTCCTTTCTGAGGATCTGAGGAGTTTCTTTATATACCTCCATGTGAAATCTGTTGGTAAAGGAAGAAAAAATAAAGTAATGCTCCGAAATAAAATTTGTACAGATGTAGTCTTTTTTTTTTTTTTTTTTTTTTTTTGTGAAATGACATCCTGTTTCTCAAGGAGCTGGTGTAGCCTTTAGTCAGCCTCGTTTCTTATGGTTCTCTGTGCTTTGCATGGTAATTAGCTCTGTGCGTTATCAGCAGCGCGATGCTCCCGGCTGTTTCTCCAGCAGCTGCTGCCGTGCTCCTTGGCAGCAGCTCCTTGCAGCCTCCTGCCTGACGATGTACCACCGCACGTGTGTGCGCACACTTACTGATCCCCTGCCCACACTGGTTTATATGCAAAGGCAATGGGTACAGCAGCGTTGCAGGGAGAAGAGGCTTGAGTCTGCTTCCCCTAACAGTTCACCAAGGGTCGCCAATATTTAGCTATTATTTTCGCCAATATGGTTCATTGGAGGGCCAGAGAGGCAAGTTTCTTATGAAAGACCTCAAAATGCAAACAAGCTGGGTTCGTCAATGTCAGGATGAATACAGGGTAGCAGTTCAGCAACTTAGGGAACAGCAGCCTCAAAACCTTTTTTTAGAAATTATTCAAACATTTGTTGTGCAAGTGTTCTGTGGCATGTACACTATGAAGAGGGTGGAATGACTGCCCTGTGTAGACTGCAGGCATTTTGACATCATCCGTTTGCAGGTGCTGCATCATGCAGACAACACCAGCACAACATTGTATGGATCAGGCATGTCCACTCATGCAAATACAGCTCTGTGCAATTTGGTGTCCACATCTCTGCTTTTTAATTCAGATTTCAATAAATATTTATTAGTAGGTTTTTTTGTTTTGTTTTGTTGGTTTTTGTTTGTTTGTTTTTTGTAGTTATAATGCAACCATGAAGTTATATTCAGCTTGTCAAATTCACAGGCAGTGATGGTTTCCCTGTAGTGTAAGTAGAGATATAGTGGAGAAGTTTTAAGAATGAAAATGAGGAATCTTTTCCAAACCCAGGGCTCAGACACCTTTCAGACCTGTCCTAAGTCCCACAACACTCTGCATTGTATTATAAGGTAACACAAAAAAAAACATTATGGCTGCAAACCACATGAAATAGACATTGCCTGTTGCATGTAAAACATGGACTCTAACTTCTCCACCCTTACTCTAGAAACTTTCATATTAACAGTATTGGAAGATACTTACAAGCAAGTCAGGATTCAAAGCAAAAATAAATTTATAAACTTATGTTTGGCATTCAAAAGATTAAGAACAAAGAGGACAGTGTAGAAATCATTTGTTTTTATTTTTTTCCAAATATTACTTTAATTTTTTCATAACATCTTTGGTCTTGCATTTCCGGATTTATTTTTGCCTTTTGAAAGTCACTGTGATCATACTAAGAGGGAGAAGTGAAAAGATTTTTTACTCTCTGCCCAGAGATTTGATTTGCTGGAGAGTATAGCTATAGTTTTAGTTCTGTGGTAATGGAAAGTGTGATTTCTTACTGATGAGCATCTGCAGACTTATTTCATTACACTTCTAGGAGGAATATTTAATTTTGAAACAGAAGCTCATTTCTAAACTTATTCTGAAATACCCTGTTGCCAAATATACCTTCAGTAACTTTGCCTTGACTAATAATCATCATCATCATCATCATCATCATCATCATCATCATCATCATCATCTGTATTTTAGCATCTATGCATTTTATACAGCATAAGGTGATAGGTCATCTCATGCCTCTTTGTATAAGATGGCAATGGAAGAGAACAGTGAACTTTGTGTAGGGCAGCAGATTCATTGCTCTGTAGGCAAAGCACAAAGGATCAGGAATTTATACTCCCCACTGTAGTTAGTGGGATCATAGAATAGATCAGCTGAATGGTTTGGGTTGGAAGGAACCTTAAAGTTCTTCTTGTTCCAACCCCTCTGCCATGGGCAGGGACATCTCTGACTAAATCAGACTGCCCAAAGCTCCATTCAACCTGACTTTAAACACTTCTAGTGATGGGGCATCCACAACTTCTCTGGACAACCTGTTCCAGTGCCTCACCACCCTCTGAGTGAGGAATTTCATTCTAATATCTAATCATAATCTGCCTTCTTTCAATTTAAAACCATTACGCCTTGTTCTATCACTACATGTCTTTCCTTCTGTCATGGCATCCCTTCCTTCTATCGTGTCAACTGTACGACTCAGCTTGGTGTCATCCACAAACTTGCTAAGAGTGCACATTGCACTGTCTATGTCATTAATAAAGTTATTAAACATTACCAGTCCCAATATGGATGCTCGAGGGACACCACTCACCGCTGATCTCCACAAGAATATATACCAGGCTCTAGGGAAGGAAAAGAAGAAAATAGAGGGAAACCCACACAGAAGAGACAAATAAATAATAGCTAATACAATTTCTAAAATTCCAAAATATCCAGAGATTGTTGTGCAGTTTCTATATGCATGTTTCTGTCTGTCCTGTTAGCTTCATTGACAACATGAACCATTTTGTTTGGTCTCCTATCCTAGAGGCAAGGAAGGTGGGACACAGCATTGTGCAGCTCGTGGAGACACTGGTGTGATGAGAACAGGCCTGTCTGAATGGTACTGCAGCTGCTCTTTAGCTTCAGTACACAGGACACAAGTAATTCTACACAGACTGACTTTGTAGTACGCTTAGCTCCTTTCCCTTTGAAATCAGCAGTGTAACTCCCGGTGACTGTAAAGCTGAAAGGATGTGTTACACCAAGAGTTAATGCAATTCATTTGTCTAACAATCAAGGGCCATACTCAGCAAAGATCAGCTAGAGTGCTGGCAATAAAGACCTTATAACTTTTTATGAATTGGCGTGAAATAACAGCCACAAAAAATTATGAAACATAAATTGTTCCCTAGCATATGCATGGCTGTGGTGCTTCTGACCTTGGTTACAGGTGCTAGGCTATGGGAGGCTGTGAATTCAGGCCTCCTTGGTGACACAGCTCAAGCTGGGGAGCGGCAGTGATGACATTCAGGAACACAGACTGGCTGATTGTATCATTGGGGTCTGGTAGGCACAAAGACGCCCATTTCTGGAAGTTTTTGAGTACCTAGATACAGATATGGCACAGAAGTATGGTTTCCAGCTGACAAGGACATGGTTTAGTGAGTGATATTGGTAGTAGGGTGATGGTTGGACCAGATGATCTTGAAGGTCTCTTCCAGCCTTAATGATTTCCTATGATTCAAAAACTCTTTACTTTGGGAATTTTTCAGGGAATTTCACAGCACCACAGAGGGGCTGAGGCTGTCAGGGCCCTCTGGAGGCCACCGGGCCCAAGCCCTGCCCCAGCAGGGCCAACCAGCGCAGGCTGCCCAGGCCCATTTCCAGGCAGCTTTGGAAGGTCTCCATGAAGGAAGACTCCACAACATCTCTAGGCAACCTCCAGCAGTGCTCAGACACCCATGACACAAAGAAGCGTTTCCTGGTGTTTAGAACCTTCTGTGTTCACAATGGCCATGCTGCCTTCACGGTACTCAGTGTGGCAGCTTGTGTCACAGCCCCTGCAGCTCTCCTCTCAACATCACTGCTGCCTGTACACTATATATCATCAGACTTCACAAAGGCAGTATTACTGCAGAGTCTTCCCTGAACAAAGGATACAGACAGATGTTATTTATTTAATATAAATAAAGGCACATATTGGATCTATGTACAGGCACTAACTGTTTTGCTTATGCCTACTTATAGGCAGTATATCTGAAACAGCATGAACCACACACAAAAGTGGCATAAACAAAATCCTATGAATTTATACAAATATGTGCCAGCATATGTAAACATTGCAAATATCACATCTTCCTGTGGTGATGATGGGGAATAATTTGAGAATTTTCAGCAGTGCAACTTTTCAGAGGCTGGAAAGACTTGGCCTCATTTCGAAACTGTAATAGAGTTTGAATATATTTCATGTGACAAGCGTGTCCTCAAACCTGCTATTTGTTATTTCTTTTTAAAACACAAACAAACTCTTTTCTCATTTTGTTTACAGGACAGTGGAACAGGAGATAACAGCTGCATTGAAGAAATATTGCGGGTAGGAATTCTAAAAAAAATATTCTCTTTCTAGTACCATTTTGTTTACTCTAAAAAGGCAAGAGAACAACAAGGATGTTGCAATTACTGCTGTTAAAAATATTATGCTTTTAGATTGTGATCTTTCTAAGGAACAAGTAGGCAAAAATATTCACCCACAACAAAATAAATAAATAAATAAATGAATAAAAAGAATTGAAAATCTGTATTAGCAACATTCTAGAGCCTCTGGATTTTGCTGCTACTTTGTGCCAGTGTGGCTGACCTTCATGCATGCAGAAGCAGATAATGGGATAAATTATAAACTGAAATGTACAACGATGTTTCAGGTTTACAAACCATGCAAAGTGCATGTTTCCATTAATCATGACTGTCAAAAATCTTAATTTTGAAGGGAGGTCTAGGAAGGTCATTTTCCACCTGGATTTAATTAGAATCCATTATGTAATGTCATTATGTCCATTATGTCCATTATATAATGACAATGTGCAAAAAATGCAGTTATTTCCATATTTCATTATTATTTCTTTTATCCTAGTAATTTCTAGTTTATTTTCATGGAGCAAATTAATACACAACCAGACAGATCTGAGCTTGAATCAACTTTGATATTGATTATTTTCGGAGGCAGACAAACTAATAAACAGTGAACCATTTTTATAATTTTAACTCCTGTTCTTTTCAGTTCTTTTTCTACACTGATAATTCAACAATTTGCAATGCTCATATATCAGACATAAGAGTCAGTAAAACACCAAACCAGGTAGAAGGAATGTCAAAACCTCCCTATTATTCTCTGTGCATCCACAGCTTGGACAGCCACTACCCAAATATTTCAGATTGCTTATAAACTACAGGACTATAAATATTTGGTTTAGAGATTAGTAGTGCATTAAGACTGCTGTTTCTAAAGGCATTTCTCCATTCTCCATGAATAGGCTAAATACAGCTTTTAATTCTTAAACTGGACAAAGAGTTTATCGAAGGGTGATTATGATGGATTACTTATGACTTCACTGGCAGAGCTTTTAGTTAGCTAACATTTACAAAGTAGGCTTTTGTAGGACTGAACTGCATATTCAACAAGCCTTAGCCCCAGTCCCTGTTGTTTTGTTACAAATTAGTAGCAGACAGTATAATTCATGAGAGCTTTTCCCATTTTTCATGATGCACTGAGTATATGATGTGGTGTGAGGCTCATTCGCCCCTTTTTAATGCAGGACATTAAAAAAGAGAAGTGAAAGAAGCCAGTCTTCCTCCTTATAAGTGTGAATTGTTCAAGTAAAAAAAAATGGAGAAAAGACACGGTTCCTGCCACGAGTAGGAAAGTGGCTATATGAGAGGTCCTAGTCTCATACAGTCTCATATGATGCAAAGTGCACCGTATGACTAGGGATTGTAAGGCACATCTTCAAGCTGGTGCTGTCTCTCTTCTTCAACTCTTGGGAACATTCCTCAAAAAATATTTTTATGAAGCTTCATGAGAAAACATGCAGCATGTTCTTGGATGAATAGGACCCATTTCTTCATGGGGATTTATTCACAAATTCTTTCACTTTGGTTAAAAACTGAATAAATCAACCCACTACAAGCAGTATTGCCAAGACCTCTTTTTCACTTCTGAACAGGTCATGGTGCTGGCTGCAATCCGGTCTCTTTCTGAAGAAGGCAGCTTAAGAACAAAAATACCCACCAGGGTGCCTGGGTGAGGAACTGGACAGAGTAACTCTTCCTTTGAAGGACTGCTGAGCTGCTCTGCAGGGCACTTTTCCCTGTGTCCTCCAGAGCAACAAGCTCCTGGGTCCTCCAGCATCTTTTACCTTTACCATCTTCTTTCTGAGTTAACATTCTGAAAAGTCGGGTTCAGAATACCTTAAAGCACACCAAGTAATACACAGGGTTTTCAAACCTGGGAGTCTGGCTCCTCACAGAGCAGGAGGTAATAGGCAGTTTAAGCATACTTAGAGCTCAAAAGACACACTTCACATCAGTATCTCCCTATCTGCTGAGGCTTAACATGGCTAAAATGCAGAGTGCACCATTTTCATCCTCCAGCTCCTGTCCTCCCGTGATTATCAGTCATTTTGGATAACCTCTCCAATCTGCCCATCCTCCATGTCTGTAGCCTGGATATCTCTTTCTATTCTGAACTTCCCTTGCTATGATTTGTCTGAGACTAAGCATAAATCTTGCAGACTGCTACTCTGTGGCATTTCCAACTGAAGCTCTTTATTTACAAATGTATAGTTCTGGTCTAAATTCTCTCAACAAATGTAATGCTACCCATGTCCACTCACACTGCTGCATGGATCATTTTCCTAGCTTGATGTCATAGGATCATAGAATCACGGAACGGTTTGGGTTGGAAGAGACCTTAAAGATCACCCAGTTCCAACCCCCTGCCATGGGCAGGGACACCTCCCACCAGCCCAGGCTGCCCAAAGCCCCATCCAGCCTGGCCTTGAACACCTCCAGGGATGGGGAGCCACAGCTTCTCTGGGAAACCTGCTCCAGTGCCTCACCACCCTTATAGGAAAGGATTTTCTCCTTGTATCTAATCTAAACCTACCTTCTTTTAGTTCAAAGCCATTACCCCTTGTCCTACCACTACACTCCCTGACAAAGGGCTTTCCTGTAGGCCCCCTTTAGGTACTGGAAGGCTGCAGTGAGGTCTCCCCAGAGCCTTCTCTTCTCCAGGCTGAACAACCCCAACTCCCTCAGCCTGTTTTCCCCTCCAGCCCTCTGATCATCTCCATGGCCCCTCTTGTACTGAGGGCCTCAGAGCTGAATGCAGGGCTCCAGGTGGTGTCTCACAAGAGCAGAGTGGAGGAGCAGAATCATCTTCCTCTACCTGCTGCCACACTTCTTTTGATGCAGCCTAGGATACTGAGTGCACTCAGTCCCACTGTCCATGTCACCGACAAGGATGTTAAACAGTGCCAGTCCCACTACCAGCCCTGGAGGAACACTACTCGTTACTGATCTCCACCTGGACATTGAGCCACTGACAGCAACTCTTTGAGTGCCATCATCCAGCCAATTCCTTACACACTGAGTGGTCCATCCATCAGATCCATGTGTCTCCAATTTAGAGACAAGGTTGTCATGCAAGAGACAGTGTCAAATGCTTTGCACAAGCCCAGGTAGATGATGTCATTTGCTCTTCTCTTATCCATTAGTACTGTAACTCCATCACAGAAAGCCAACAGTTTTGTCAGGCATATGTCTTGCCCATATCACATTTGTCTTTGCATCTCATCACTGTCATCTCCTTCTCTATCACATGCAGTAGAGCTATTTGTTTCCTCTTTTAAGGCCTCAAGTCTACCAATCAGTGCTGACATGTTAGCTACCACTTTAGCACACCCGTTAATGCCAGCTTCTGTCACCCAGCAGTGTGCTAAGTTTTGCATGAATTAATTTCTCCCATACTTCCCATCAGATCAGGGAAGAGCCTTAAACACCTTCCCAGTTACCTCCATGCCTACTTTCAGATCTCCTCTTAAGAGCTTCCCTTTTCACAGGGACGGCGGAAAACCAGTGGTGAGCTCAGGGGTATACCTCTGTTTCCCATGCTTGAACATTGCTGTCTCACATGTCCCTTGCACAGCCCAGTCAGGCCAGATGTATCCACCTTGAAAAGTGAGCTTTCTGATTCAAGGGCTTGTATAATACAAAAGCCATTCTTAGGTAATCTCACAGTACAAATCAGTATCAGCAGTGGTTGTTGTTTCTGATGGTGCAAACAGCAACAGTAATAATATGCCATAGCTACTCACGTCATAAATTACTGGCATGCAGACATTTCCAGATACTGTACTCCAGGCCCTCTTCTTGTGCTGAACAGATCCATCCACTTTTAACACAGATTTTCTGGTTTTCAGAAACAAGGAAAGTCATTTCCGTGTCTTTGTTGGAGGTGCTATTCGCATGATAAAGCTAAGGTTTACTTCTCGTAGGACAGAATGTAGGCAGGTCCCATAAAGGTGTCCAGAGGCAGAATGATGAAAATCCAAGGGAGCTGCAACCCTCCTTGTGTTTCCCTCAGAAAAGATGCCTCTTCACTGGCAAACTTAAATGTGTTTATTATAGGAAGGGCCACTTTCCCTTTCTTTTCTGGCTTTACAGAACATCAGCAAAAGGAATAAGATTCTTAAAAATGTATCTTTTTAAGGAACACCACTATAGCTGTCTCTTTGACAACACAGAGCAGAAAGCATCCACCCTGCCTAGATACTGCATTCCTGGCATGTCAGATCTTCCAAGGAATAGACACTTCCACAGCAAGCCCCAGGTCATACTGAAGGTTCCAGTGAAGATGAAGGGTGGTAGAAGGAGTAACTCACACCTACTCCAGCTGCTTTCCCGTGTTTCCTTTCCCTGGTGTGTGAGAGGAGGCCAGGGCTGGTTTGTGCACAGACAAACCTCCCACAGGTTCCAGGGCATGGCCAGAGCTAACGTCTACTTGGGCTTCCAAGTCAGTTTAGGAATAGCTTGAAAATCACCAAATCTAATCTTCCACTAACTGTGATGGGAATGTATATTTTTTTGTGCTGTCTTGTGCAACGCAGGGTGCCACGACGCAAGTCTAGCCTTTTCTGGTGTGTTTTTACTGCATGTATCGGAGCTCTGTAGACTTTGTAAATCGAGAGATCATTCTGCACAAAACAGCAGCTTCCAAAGAAAGCCCCCAAGAACTGAGGCGCAGAACTGTTTCGAGTCCTGAAGGAGGTTGATTAACAAGACAGTAACCCTGTTGAGATTGGAGCTGTTGTAAGGACTCCCGCTGAGTTTATAATCACTGCAGGAATCCTGAACCTAATCTCACCCCGTGCACTAATTCAGAGCAACTTCTTCAAAGTGTAGTGACTCCTCTGTCCAGCTGCAGGCACGCACGTCAAGGATAGAGCGACTTCTAAGGAGAGACTTCGAAGTAAATAACTGCAGGAAGACCAAGTTGCAGATGTAATGTCAAACTGAGAGAGAAAGGATGCGTTACTT